GTCGGCAAACTTGCTGAGAGTGCACTCGACCCCACTGTCCATGTTGCTGACAAAGATGTTGAACAGTACAGGTCCCAGTACCAACCCCTGAGGAACGCCACTCGTCACTTCTCTCCACTTGGACATGGAGCCATTGACCGCAACTCTTTGAGTGTGACCGTCCAGCCAGTTCTTTATCCACCAAGTGGTCCATTTGTCGAATCCATGTGTCTTCAGAGACCAGGATATCGTGTGGGACGGTGTCAAGTGATTTGCATAAGTCCAGGTAGATGACATCAGTTTATCTTCCCTTGTCCACTGCCGCTGTAAACCCTTTGTAGAAGGCCACCAAATTTGTCAGGCATGACTTGCCTTTGGTGAACCCGTGCTGGCTGTCACCAGTCACCTCCTTGTTTTCTGTGTGCCTTAGTACAGTTTCCAGGAGGATCTGCTCCATGATCTTGCCAGGCACGGAGGTGAGACTGACTGGCCTGCAGTTCCCCGGCTCTTCCTCATTTCCCTTTTTGAAAATAGGGGTTATGTTCCTCCTTTTCCAGTCGGCAGGAACCTTGCCAGACTGCCACGACTTCTCAAATATGATGGCCAGTGGCTTAGCGACTTCATCTGCCAGTTGCCTCAGGACCCACGGATGTACCTCATCAGGTCCCATGGACTTGCGCACCTTCAGGTTCCTCAGATGGTCTCGCACTTGATCTTCACCTACAGTGGGCGGTTCTTCACTTTCCCAATCCTCGCCTTTGCATTCTGCATCATGGGCAGTGCAGCTGCAGTCCTTGCCAGTGAAGACTGAAGCAAAAAAGTCATTGAGTACTTCAGCTCTGTCCCTGTCCCGGGTAACCAGCTCTTGCATTTCCTTCTGAAGAGGGCCCGTAGTTTCCCTAGTCTTTCTTTTCTTGCTGACATACTTAAAGAAGGATTTTTTGTTTTTCTTAATGTCCCTGGCCAGATTTAGTTCTATCTGGGATTTAGCTTGTCTAACCCAATCCCTGGCTGCTCGAAGGATTCCTCTGTATTTGTCCCAGGCTACCTGCCCATGTTTCCACTCCCTATAGGCCTCCTTTTTACTTTTGAGGATGCCCAGGAGCTCCTTGTTCATCCATGCAGGCCTCCTGGCTTTTCTGCCTGCCTTCCTCTTTGCAGGGATGCCCCAACTATGAGACTGTGGTGTGGAATTTGTGAGACTTGAATTCAGCTGTGTGCTTTACTTGAGACTTCCATTGCTTTTGAGCGGATGATCTGATTTCTTTATGCTTCCATTATTAATCTACAGGAGGAAGAAAATTACGTGATTATCAGGAATATTGTGAAGATAAATACTTTAAAGGCTTTTTAGGTACCCTGCTTACAGGAGTGGAATGGTATAAGTTCCTAAAACATTGGTGTGTCTAGGGCTGGGCTGTTGTACCCTTTGCTTCTGCTTCCTCTTGTATTCCTGCAGAATACTTGATGCTGAAGTCGAGGACAGGTGGCAACAGTGAATTTTTTGAATATCCACAGGGCAGTGCTGAATGAATGTCAAGGCCTAGTTACAACTGAAGGTATTTTTTGCCTAAAAGCTCCTAAACAGGCTCCTTGCTAATTTTATAAATCAATATTTAAAGATTAGGAAAAAGGTTATAGAAGGAAAATATTTTAATTTCTTTCCTTTTCAAAAATACATTTTAAATACTTGTAGCTGCTAATTTTTTCTGTATGTTAATTTTGGCATACCACTGGAAAGTTTTGTTTTTTTTTTTAAATGGTTTTGAGCATTACTGTAGAACAGTTACCTGAAGTCAGTCTGGACAGATTTCTTGATGTTAGCTAAACACTTCCTGCTCTACTCACTGATTTGAGAATTTAGGGGTGTTTTTTTTGTGCAGAAGGATGATTTTAATGAAAATTCTTTGTAGCACACACTCAAATTGCAATGATGTGTAAATGCTTAAGTACAAGAGTCGCATATAAATTTTCTCTGAAGAGAATCCTGCTTTACCAAATGGCCTTTAAATCATTCCTTCTTCACTTGGAATAACTTTTGCTTGTTTGTTTAGGTTTTTCTTTTCTGTTGCAGGAAGGGAGTTGTTGTGGGCAGAAATACCTGGTTTGAGCACATTCATTTTCTTTCATAGTGTGCAAGAGAGAGATTTGGAGGCCTGTCTTTCTCCTTGCTGATACATATAAATGCCCATCTACTTCTCATTCACAATGAGGACAGACACTTCATTGTGTACATCACATTTGCTCTGTTAGGACAGGCAGGAGTTTCATCTTTGCATTTTACTGGAAGCATCTACGCTGTTAGCTTTTTTTACTTTCAGTCTAATATTAAGAGAAAGGTTGTCACAACGGCCTGGTATGTTTGTGATCTGTTATCTGACTAAAACTTGTGTTCTACTAACAAGAGTAGAAACTTTTCCGGCATCAGAATGACTTTAAGGTGTCCTTTTAACAGTAGAGTTATAAGAACACGTGCAGAAGTACTTGCAGCTTTTTTCATTTCTGTTTTACCAATTTCAAATAATTGAATGTTGTACAGTAGTACGTGTCTTGCACTGACCACTGATTTCTGTATTCTGAGGTTGGGTCAGGAAATAACCGGTTTCATGTGATAATCAAACACTGAGGCACAGGCAATGTGTGGGATTATAAACATAAAGGAAACTGCAGCTGCATTGAGAGATTTCCTATTTTAGAATAATTTCAGTATTTAAAAGCTCAGCTGACTAACAGCTAATGGTTCTATATAGCATCTTCACTCGATAGTGAAAACACAGTTTTTGTGTGTTTGGGACAGGGCCTGGGGGGGCTACTGGACTGTAGCTCTTCTGATGCTTAGAAAAACTTGTGCCTGGATGGATTTACCACGTGTACTGTGGTATGTCAGCCACTGAATCTTCTTTGGCACGCATGACTGTGATGAAGCAGCAGGAGCCGCACCACTTCTTGTAAGTGAAAGGTTCGAGTCCCACGAGTGCCTTTTCTTAGGTCTTAAAACCAAATTCCAAACCTTTCTGGTTATATAAGCTCCACTGTTTTCTTTATGACTCAGGACCAAGTCTGCTTTTGGTCTTTCTTGTGCCACTTTGCTATATTCTCCCCCCAGTGTTATACCACTGTAAGATGTGACTTGGCTGTTTTTTTCCCTCCCTGTTGATAATTCTCACTGATGCTGTGGTGTGGTTGGTTTTTTTATGTAGCTGGAGATCGTGTAAGTGTATTGGTCTTGATCAACTGTGAGGTCGTAGAATAAAATACATATTTCCTGGAGATCTGATATCGAATGTTGTAGTAATTTAATGGTATTTTTTTACATGGCTCTTTGTTTATGGACATGTGATTACTTAGATGAAGGGTGGGTAGAATTTTTAATTGTGCAAATGTTTAGACGTTTGAGGGAGCAGCAGAACACAGGTAATACTGTATCATCCCCAGATGTTTGATCAAGAAATTTTTAAGTTCTTCTTTTGGAAAAGTTGTCTGCGTCGAACATATTTTGTTTAATATTACTTTCCATTTCATCCCACTTTCTTCCATTCATAGCTTAAGATGTATTTCTCAACCTTATGTCTCAGATCCTAATTTTCCTGTTTGATCGTGAGTACATGACAAGTCTGTTTAAGGTTCAAGGAAGCTGCATCTGAAATTTTCCTTTTTTTGACTCTGATCAGGAGTGTTGGATGAGCAAATTTACTGAGCTTTCCTGTAGCAATGCTATAAGCTCTCTTTGGGTGGCTTCTTTTCACCAACATGTAGTACCAAAACTGAGGTAGCAGTGTTTGTAATGTGTTGCCCTCATCTCCTGTCTGAACATAAAATCGGGGGAGAAAGTATGTAAATAGCTGTAGTTTGGAAACATTGCGTGTATCTGTGTGACAGATCATCTGCAGATGTGTGTATCGGTCCTGGGGAGTTTGGTGAAGCTGCATGGTGCAGCAGCATCAGCTCTCTTATCCATTCATATAGTATCTGTCTATGTGCTTATGGTTTTGTAGTGTTGTTTTCCGGGGTCTTGATACTCTAAGAAGTGGCATGGTATTTTTTTTTTTTGGGGGTGGTTTTCTGCTGAAGTAGACAGTTGACTTTTCCCCCTGGTTTGGAGTCACACACTTCAGAATGATGCTAGTGCAGCCATGGGTGTTTGTTCTTCACAGCTCTCACTCTGGTGAAATTTGTGGCACACTATTTTATAATGGAGCTTTTGATGCCTCCTTCTTCTGAAACATCTAGTCCTAGACGTCTAAACTGTGTTCATTAATTAAATAAATTCGTGATTCTTAAAACAACATGCAGTGTCATGTATAATCATGCTAGCTATCTACATTAGGGAAACTTTTTCTTTGTTTGTATTTTGGATTCCAAAGAGCCGTTGGAAAGCTGTAGGAATGCTAAGGCAACGCAACTCCCTCACAGCCCCTTTTATGAAAAGGCCAGTGGGACGATTGTGTGCATATGTTTTGCTCTTTCTACTGGAAAAACCTTGTGTGCTAAGGATAGTTGCAGATTGATGCAGAAATACCTTTGGGTTTACAATAAGAAGCATAACTGCCATAATAGGATGCTTTTTGATAGCAGCACGATTTTTTTTTTTTTGTTCACTAGAAATTTATTTGTTTCAGAGAAATGGCAGAAGAAAGTATATTCCGGAATCTCCTGGAAATCCTGATGAGTGCCTCAAGTGAAATTGAACAGGTCTGCAAGGGCTCCTGTGAATTGGTAGATCTAGACACCTGCCTGCTGCTCACAGCAGAGTGTTTCAGATGTCTGAGGAATGCCTGTGTTGAGTGTGCCAAGAATCAACATGTCATGAGGTATAGTTATGATCCATTTTAACCCATACAAAAATATAACCTTCTGATGTTTGTGTGGTTTTATATAGAGATTCTTATTTTACACTGCTGTGTTAGTTGATTTATTAACTGGTATTTCCTGCTTGATGCAATCACTTGAAACTATGCAAGGAACAAAAATAGCTGACCTATTTGTAGGTCAGAGTTTGGGCCACTGCTGAATAATAGAACAAAGAGTTTGTGTCCTCAGTATGAGTTGATTATGCAAATAATGTAAGCCTTTTCAAGTCTGACTGTAGAACTATCCTTTTTTCCTCTTTCTTTTAAAATTTTTCTTTGGGTAATATAATAAGTAAATAGTCTTAATTATCAGTTACAGATTGGTATGGGTTTTTTAAGGTACATTTAGATCTGTCTGGCACTCACAGTGACATACAGCATGTAGAATTGTTCATATCAACCCTGATACATATACAGGTAAACTAATTTTAATGGATAATAAGAAGTCAGTCTGGCTCCTTAAGTTATTTAGCCTCCCTTTTTTGCCTGCATCTGTTGCAATACTGAGGGGCTGGGACACAACCAGCTGTAGTTGCTGAAAACTTGGCAGTCTACCTGCTGTTTTTTTAACACCATACCCCTTGCCAAGAACCCAAAACCAATCAACCAATCCGCCCCCCCCCCCCCCACCTTGTACAAATTTAGATCATGAAGAATTGTTGTGGAGTACAGTGTTAAAATTGGGTTCTTTCACACTGGTCAAATTTGTTTTATTGAGCTAAATGTAATTTTGACATGGGACAAAGTTGCAACTGCTGTGCTGGGGTAGAATTTTATTAATGCCCCCAAAAGTTGCAGGACCTTTTGTAGAAGGCATTAGTTTCAGAATAAGGTAAATCTAAGTTCAGAATCTTACTTTTTTGTTCCTGGCAGCGCTAGCGCTTGTGATTGTGCTGTGGGTTAAAGGACTGATCTGAACAGAAAATTTATATGTTTGTTTATAAATTTTTGCTGGATGGATGTTCAGCCAGACTGGGTTCCTTATTGTAACTTACCATAGCTCCGTAGTTACTCATGCTAACAAAAAGGGGGGAACAGAATTACATGGCTGGGAGTTGGTAGGATTGCCCTTTTCAGTAGCATGACAAGTACAACCTAGTTATGGATATCTGAAGTCCATTAGAAAGTAAAAACTAATTTTTACTTTCTAATGGAATTCAGACATCCAGCCTGCTTCTGAACAAAACGGTGTTCTGCACTGGTTATACCTGTGCTGCGTACTTGCCTTCACTAGGCAGTTAGCATAGCCTTGCTTATTTAGGAAGCTGGATGCTAATAATTGCACTTTCCTTTAGACTGCAGGAGGGGGAAGGCCTGTGTGGACAGAAAGTTCTGACCACGTTTCTAACAGTGAAGGACTCAGTGGGTCACTCATTGGATACTGTTTTGGCTTTGTAGCAGCATAAGAATTTATGCTTCTTTTAATACTACACTGGGTACTTTGAGCCAGCAGGATATTAGCCATTGTTTATGTTGATGTTAAACAGTTGCAAATGCACAACTTATTAAGGAATTAAATGTCCTGAATGATCAACAGTTGTGAATGGAAGGAAAATTATGTGCCTTTGATGTTGGTTTGAAGTGTGGAACATTCAGATATTCCAAAAAAACCTGCCAACTACAATTTTTTTTTTGATCAAAATCAAAACCGATTGTTTCTGGGAAGGAATGCAAAGATTGTAAACACATGGATTATGTAACAGCTTTTAAACTATTGGGGAATATGAAGCTTTGTTCCTTCCAGGGTCAGTTTTTCTGCTTTGTGTGCTACTAAAAATTTGGGGTTTGAAGGAATGGGAAATGTTTTGATTTTAATCGATTGTACGTATACCAGTCTGCATTATATATTTAGAAATGTATTTTTGGCTTCTCTTCTGTGTTAGAACTCAGTGAGAAGGAGTATATGTTTGTCTAGAAAACATCTGCAGAAGACAATTATTCAGTATTCATGTGATGCTATGATATTTTTTTAAGTAACTCGTGCATGGGTGTGGAGGTTTGGTAGAGATGGTGTTGCCATGTTCTGAAGTTTCAGCCACTCTATCTTGGCTGATCTCAAAAAGCTCGACTACTAAAGTGCAAACAAATTAAAAGCTGAAAACTTCATCTGCTTATACTGAATTCTTTGACTTTTCATTTTTTTTTGCATGCGCATCCTGGCATGTATGTTACCTGCCTGTAGGATTGCTGATCTTTGGCTGTAGAATTACTTTGGTGTTTGTCATTCCAAATGGTTTCACTTCACTGGCTTATCTTCACTATCACCATGTTTTTCCATGTCTGGAAGTGTTCCAGGTCAGGTTGGATGGGGCTTTTGGGTACCTGGTCTAGTGGAAATTGTCCCTGCCCATGGCAGGGGGGTTGGATTAGAAGATCTTTAAAGGTCCGATCCAACCCAAGCCCTTCTGAGATTCTACCCATGATTGCTTCTCACTGGAGAAAGGATAAATGATTACTTTACCTTCCCCGTTTCCCAGTGAGAATTTTGTATGTTTCCCTTTGAACTGGCCCTGTTCATTTGATGTCCATTACAGAATGGTAGGGGATGGAAGGGACCTCTGCAGATCATCTAGTCCAACCCCCCTGCTGAAGCAGGTTCACCTGGAGCAGGTTGCACAGGATCGCGTCCAGGTGAGTTTTGAGTATCTCCACAGATGGAGATTCCACAACCTCTCTGGGCAGCCTGTTCCAGTGTCCTGTCATCCTCAAAGTAAGGAAGTTTTTCCTCATGTTCAGATGGAAAAATAACAGTATAATGGCAGTCACTAATCACTTTGGTATTTAAAATCCTCAAAGTTTATTACTAAGTAACATACATTGACGCTTTCCCTGAACTTGAACTTCAAGCAAAGCAAAGTTTTTAGACAAATAAAGCTGTTCAAATTATAGGAATAACCTACTGATTTTTAACATTTGATTTAGAAGAATAGCAAAAAGAGAGGAAAGGGTACTTAGCTCTGAAGGTACTGTGTCCAAAATTGTTAATACGCAGGCTGATGCAGTAAACCTGTTCCTTTTACTTCAGGTGGCAGTAGTGTGGCTACTGATAGTCAGGCACAGTTAAGTAGAAGAAACTGCTTTTTATTTCAGAGTTAGATGTTAAAGACTTACTGTTAACTTCAGTGACAAGCATTTTTGCTTGATCTAAGTGTATTTCATATTGTGATGTATTATTGTTTTCCAATTTAATGATAGGAGCTTGGGTCTCATCTCTGCATCTGTCCATTTGATCAAATTGCTTCATGGAATACAAATCAAAGAAGAATTGTTATTAACTGGTAAGGCTATGGATTTTGTTAAATATATAGTCTGCATGATATTTTTTCATGTGGGGAGTCTTGTGTTGTTATGATGGCACCTTACTGATGCATTTTTTTAAAATAAATAAGCTTAGTTGTTTCTTGAATTGCAGTTAAGAACTGGGATGCCTTCTCTTATGCTTCTTGAAAAAAATTTCAGCCCCAAGTCTAATCCAATTGTATTTTCCCTCAACAATTCCCTATAGATTGTTAAAAGAGAGATATGGGAAAGTTCTTTAAAATTAACCAGGAAAAGGAAAAGTTGCTGTAATATCTCCATTCAAAAATACGTTCTGCTGTTTTAATGTCTTTTTATTTGATCTGCAAGCATAGTGAAATGAAGAAATACTCCTTTTTTATTTTGATGACACTTGAAATAATTAATCTGATTCCAGGAAACAAATTTTGGTTGTGACTTTTTAAAATTATCTTTTGATTTTCATTTCTGTACTGTGGTTGCTGGCCAGTCAGGGTGATACCTGCCAATAACTAAATGCTGATTTGAGTAATGTTCACATTTCCATAATGGATGAGGGTTTTTTTCTTTTCATGCAGTGAAGAGAAAATCTGACTATAGTATCCTTCCCCCTTAACAGCAGTTATTGCTACTGATTTCTACCAAACTGAATTCACTGATTATTAAAGCATTTTCAGAAATTCTCTTCACAAGCTGCGTTTCCCTGTGTGTGCATGAGGAGCTTAATACAGGGCATTGGATCTCAGTCTTTACTGTCTGTGGTTGCAGAGGGTAGGGAACATTTGGTTTCTCTTGCTACTTTTATTTCTTTTCACTCCCTTTACTTGGATTAGGTTTTTACTGGGTTCCTGTTGCTGCTTTTCCATCATTTTGGGGAAGCAAGTGAAACTCCTGTCATACAGTAACTTGCCCTCAAACACCTTTATGAAGCTGGGAAAGAGCGGTGAAGTCCAGGATACTGTTTTTCCTTGTGCTGCTGTATTTGGCTCAAAATGAAGCCTTTCAGGCATGTGATGGTGTTATGGTTAAGCCACATTCACTCCTTCACCCTTTGCTGGAATCCTTCTTCCAATGAAGGATCACTGATGCTAGCACAGTCCTTCACTGTGGGAGGACTAGAACTGAACCCTGTGAGTGGCAAGAAGAGCACTTGCTCAATGACCATAAAGAGGAGGAACTGATAGCACACAGGAGTGACTCTCAAGCCATGTCACAGGGTTGGACAGGGAGGAATGGCATGGAGGGCAAGAATGTCTTGCCACACAGTTGTAAACCCCTTTGTAGACCAGTAAGAGGAAAGGAAAACCGATGGGAACTAAAATGCTGGTTTTGTCCAGCCTGACATTGTCCCTACTAGGGCCCTTGACAGCAGTAGGCTTGAAAAGGCTGTCCTGGGGAAGTGTACTTCCTACCTTCAGCTTATTCAAAGCATCAGGAATTGTATTGTGAGAATACCACCTTTCAGTGCCACCTCCCAGCACCTGCAAGAGAGTGAGCAGGATGTGCCCCTTGTTGGTTACATGCATGGCCTGAGGTTTCCCCTTCAGTCCTGTGGCTGCTGACCCGTCCTTGATGGGTTATCATATGCATGTGTGCTGTTCTCCTGCTGCTGGGACCCGAAGAAGCAGTAGTGAATGTTACTCAGCAAAAAAGAAAGGAGGGGGTGGAACCCAGTAATTTGATTAACTGCTTCAGACTCCTTTTCCTAGCCAGAGGATGTTGTAAAATCTCTTTTTATCGCCGTTGAAAATTAAGGGGGCATTGACCAGAAAATTTTTAACAGTATTTCAATAAAAAGTGTTTTGTCACTGTTACTCTGTGTAGCCATTCAACAAATGAGTTTGAGTTACAACTAAAATTTGATGTATTGACCCAGGATAGATGGTTTGATGGATACCATATGTAGTGTTGATCTCACTGGGAAACATCTGTGATGAGCGTGGCTTAGGTATTCCATTTATGCTACTACAACAAAAATTTCTAGACAAGTAAGTGGTGCTAATTCCTTGCTGAGTGATCTGATGAACGTTGTGCCTAGAGCACCAGCTCCTTCTAACAGATATACCTCAGAAGTTAACAGAAGTTAACAGTTTAACTGCAGATTATTAGTCATACTTTCAAAAGCGAGACAAATTGCTAAATTGGACTTGGATAGCACTGTTGAAAGAAAAGAAGCCCGTGAAATTAGTAAATGTTACTGTGTTTATGAACTATATTTCTGCTTCATGATTCTCCTCATATTTCTTACAGGAAATCGAGTCACACGACTAGAGTAGCATGTATATTTTGTTCTACCAGATAATTAGGTATTAAGTGGAATATCTCAAGTTGTTCATTTGGATGTGTCCCCCGTTTCCTCCTTTAAATGGCTGCTTGGATTTGATGATCCCTCACAGTGCCTGTTTATATCCTTAAGGTATTTTAAATACCTTCATGTTGCTACCATAGCAACAAAATACAAGGATAAAGAGGTAATGCTGTATTGCGGAGCGAACAATACTAAATAATGTTTCAGTTCATGTCCCTGTGAAAAATTCCCATAGCAAATAATTTTAGGCTAAATAAATTTGAAGTTCCAACATTATTGTATTTATGAAGAAGAGAGATTAAAAATTCTTTATGCAGACTGAAAAATTATTTTAACCTGGTGTGTGGTATGTTTTCACTCTTTTATCCATCAATAACTGTTATGACTGGTAAGTCTCTGAGTAGTGAGGTAATTTTTGTAGGAAAGTTTAGTGTAGTACAGTTTGTAATGGATAAAACCAGAAGTGAAATAAAGTATGTATTCTCTGGCCACTGCTGTGACCAGTGTGGTGTTTCTAAGGAAGGGTATGAACTGCCAGTTCTAACAATATGTTGTGGTTTAGGCCAAATCAGCTATTGGGGATGTGGGGCACCCCAGATGGGACCAACAGGTGCTCCCGTCTACCCCTCTTCAAAGGGAGAGACAGAGGAGGGAGAAAGAGTCTTATGAGTTTAGAAGGAACTAAGCTACTTTAATGAAATATTAGTAATAAAAAGGAAAGAATGAAATATATACAAAACTGTATCAAGCTCCCAGGACCATGATCACATTACTGGCTGGCCCTGGGGAAGTCCCAGACTGGACTCAGTGATGGATGGGAACTGGATTCCAGATCTGCATTCAGGATTGGGATCAAAGGCAGACGAACAGAAAGAGTCCTCCTCAGATGCTGGCCATTGAAGAAAGAGGGCTGACCCTTTGATCCCTCAGCTTTTATCCTGAGCACGAGACAGTTGGGGTGGAATACCCTGTTGGTCAGTTTTGGGTCACCTGTCCTGTCCGCTCCTCCCTGCAGGTGGGACCCCACTATGCTTTTCTGCTTCCGACCCTCCAACGGGGCAAGTAACCAAGTTAGCTGCCCTTGGGTGTTAGAGCAATAAGTATAAGCAAGAGCCTCTCTGCATACCATGCCTGGGCATCAGCTATAATCATAGGTTTTATCACTCTGAGGGAGTGAACGTTGTCTGCACAATCTGCTGGTAATTTCATTAGTTAGAGGAGGCCCAGCTAAGAAGCAAAGTTACCGAACAAAATTAGTTCTGTTTTACCTAAACCAGGACACAATATATTAGTTATCAAAGGAGCAAAAAAGGAGGTGCTGTGCAAAGTGGTGGAATTAAAAACTGTTGCTAAGATTCATTCAATCAAATCCAGACTCCTTTGCATCTTCTCTGCTAGGAGAAAAACGTTTTTTTTTTAATAGTTTTATACATATTTTATACATGGATAACTTGGCTTCTCACTTCAGTATCTTTACTGAAACAACTTTACCGCAATTTTTCAGCATATCTTCTTTTTTTTTAATGCTATTAAAAGTCAGTTAAATACCAGTATGCTTGTAATGTACTTTTCTCAGCCAGCTGTGAAAAAAGTTGTTGTTTTGAGTAAATGATATGCCCCTAAGGCAATGGGCCAGAAAACCCAAAGGTGAGTTAGTGTCTGTCCTGGAATAGCTCTTTAAGGCTTCATATAGGTTTAAAAATAACTAGTTAATTCATACATATGGCATATAAAGATTCTCCAACCCCACGTGCAAGCCAGCCATCCCTGTGATAATACTCTTCTTTCTTTTTAATACATGATTAAAAGAACATTTTTAGGCCTTTGCCGTATGGTGTTGCTACAGGTAGCTGTTTGTCCTTACTCTGCCTCCCTTTTTAATTCCTGAGTTAGTTTTAGTTGCATTCTGTAGCCTAGTTTCTCTTCTTGTAATTGCTTACAATACATAGTAATAATTTGTCTTGAGTAATTTATATTCTGTAGTACTTAGAGAAGGGAACCTGCTATAAGGATTTACACAGTGAAAGCCAACAGCTACATGAGTGCAGGGGGGTGATGGGCAATGATGCTTAGCAAGCGTTTAACAATTTGTAGCCCTTCTTCTGGGCAGCATCAAGACTGATTTGCATCAGGTAAGTCACACATACTTGTAAATGTGCTCTGGTTTCTTATTGCTCCAGCAGTCCTCTCTCTCTTTGCAAGAGATAGAACTTCCCAGTCAAGCAGAGAAAAATTCAAGTGCTACACTTCTTGGACAGTAACTGAAAACTAGACTTCACCTCAGTGTTCTTAAAACTATACACGCTGAAAGCGTGTGATTGTGTAAGGTGGTACTTAACTTTTTTGATTACAGAGCCTGGATATTCCTGGTGGGAAGACAGAGAAGATAACAAAGGCTGCGTCCCTCTCTCCAGTTCAGAATTAATTTGAATAAGGATTGAAGATGCAGAAAATGCTGCATGCAAGAAGGTCCGTTATATTTCTTTGGTAACAGATTTGACACCACAGTCTTGCAAGAAACAGCTAATAAGATGCTCAAATTTTTACTTTGAGACTTAGGAAAAAAATTAAGTGTCTGCAGAATATAGATTTGATTGAATTTTCTTAATACCCTATCTGCATCCCTTTTGTTTTGGTTATTTTTTTAATTTTTTTTTAAAAAAAAAGCCTTATAGCAGCCTGCTTTTTTTTCCT